CGATCTGTGATGAGGATATGGGCCCGCGCGGGCACGTCCTGGATGAAGAGCTCCTGTATTGCCTGCATCTGCGACAGACATTCAACGAGCTCGTCCGTGGTAATGACCACGCCGGGGAAACAAAGCTTGATGAGATTTTTGCAAAATAGGGAGCGAGATGCAAAGGCAAGAAAGTCGCGTTGGGGGCCAGAAGAGGGGCGGTGCGTCATCACAGGACCGGAGTGTCAATTCTTGTAAGCAAGGAAGAGTGAGCCTTCCTAAAGCTTCCCCGAGAATCTGCTGGGAATTTTTGGCATCCTTGCTATCCCCCAGCTCCCATTCGAGACTCCGGACGTCGGAAACGGTGGGTGGGAGCCCAGGCACAGAAGTTTGAATCGCCTCCAAGTCGCCGGCATGGAGGTTCCGAATGACGAATGCGCACTGAGGGGAACAACGCTGCAAAACTTCGTACGGGAAGTCCCCAGGAGCATCGCCCGCTTCGTAGATGACTTCGCGCAGCTGATCCCAAGGCAGCGACGGCGGTTCGTCGCCCCCTGCGAGTGTAACGTGCGTCAATCTGGGCGCCACTTCGAAGATGTCTTTCAGTAGGTGAGTATCGCCCCCAATCTCGAGGCATTCTAGAGCGGGCAGCTGGCCTGTGATACCCCCCAGAAAACTGGGGAGCGCTCCAGCAACATAAACATCTAAACTTTGCCATCGGAAAGCATGCGTGGTCAATAGGTCGAGACCGGCCTTCACGCCGGCTAAAGAGCCGGCCGCGAAGTGGATGGTTAACGGGCAGGAGGCTGGGCGCTGGATCGATCGCAATATAGACTCAATTTCTTCATCGAAGTTAGAAGATAAGAATGTCTCGATCATAGCCCGGAGCTTTGGGGTGCCGATGACCATCTCGCGCCAGCTGCAGCACACCTGAGACAGGGGAACCAGATGGGATTGAGAAGCTCGTTCGGCAGCATCCTCGGGGTAATCTTCCAAAGGATCAAATATCCGGAGCTGTACGGGACGACACAACGCGAATATTTCGGCCAAGATTTCTCCGGGTAGGCGCCTGATTGGTGCCAAGAGGCTACGACATCCATCGCTGTACTCCTGCAGAACCCGGCGTTCAGAGATGAGACGGGATAAAATCTCCTGGATGGTATGGATCTCTTCGTCGTAGCGTGCGAGATCCGGCGCGGACGACGGGACTACGAATTCAAAGTGCGCGTCCAACTCTGGGTCAGGATACGGAGAGTTCGCACGAAGGAGACGGCGCAGTTCCTCCATGTGCTGGGGCGGAAGGTGCGTTGATGTGAAAGCAGATCTATCGTGGTGAGATTCAGCGCTCATGGTGGGCAAGAAGCAGAAGTGCTAAGCCAAATAAGCGCAATCTGACGGTTGATGCGTCGGGCGCTTAACACGCTTTTTATGCCGCCCCGTCCGACACCCGTCCCAATCCATCCTGATATATGTACGTTGAGTCTCGCATTCCAAAACGCGTCATAAGTGTGCAGCCAGAGTCAGATCAGATGAACGTCACGGTGTGCGCCGAGATGTGCGCACAGTCTCCGAGTATTGAATCAACCAAGGAATCAACCACAAACCGATTCCAATCAAATTCAACCACGGTTCAATCAAGGCTTCGTGAACTTGTCAAAGAACTCCATCACAAGCGTGCTCGCGTCAATCGGAGTCGGTCCTTGCCCCGCAGCGATCTCCGTCAAGTCAAGCGTCGTAGACGCCCAGCAGTGTCCTTTAAATTGCCTCGTCAGCAAAATGCTTCTCTGATCGCGGCATAAAGAAAGAAAGACGGAAAGACAGAAAGACCGAAAGGGAGAAGGGGAGAAGGGGAGAAAGAGAGAAGGGAGAAATGGAAGGGAGAAAGGGAGAAAGGGAGATGAGACGCACGCATATCATCGACCTTCCAATGCTGCACGACGCCCTCGACACCGTTGCACGTCCAAGAATAATGCTGCACGTCGCCGTCAAAGAGCGTCTCCGTCGTGTTGCTCGAGCAGTTGTTGCGCTGTGCCCACCAGCTCAGCCTGTATTCATCCAATTCCCGTCAGCGCGTACATTCTCCCCGCCCCCTCCCACTACACCGGGAGAAATTCAACGAACAACGCACCAATCCACAATCGCCGGCTCCACCCCGCCCTCCCCCGGTCCACCCGCATAATGCACATCGGGATCTGCGCCGCCGTGTATCTCGAGGATGGGCAGCGGGCTGCGCGCGGGTGCGCACCCGCCGGGGACGCCGCTGTTGTCGGTGTAGAAGGAGCCTGAGCCGGGGGCGAAGGCGGCGAACTGGTCGCCGACGGGGCTGCAGGCGATGGTGTTGACGAAGCCGCCGCCGCTGGATATTCTGTGTGGGTTGAGTTAGTGACGGGAAAATGATTATAAGGGGGCGCGGGAGGGGTAAGAGGAGGGGCAAGGGTGACAGAGAAAGGGACTCACCCGGTCGCGTAGATGCGGCTGTTGTCGACGCACCAGTTGGCGCGGAGTTCGTCGAGGAGGTCGGATACGAAGGTCAGGTCTTCGGGGACGGTAGCCTTTGAGTAATTGGCGCCTGCCCATGCGCCCTGTATACTCCTCAGATTTTGAACCGCGAATCAGGGATGCAATTTGGAACGTACACCGATCCCGTTGGGATACACCATAATTTTCTGCAACAGCCCGTTCAGTTATGACTCGATAAAGAATCCAAAACCACGCACATCCGGAGTGTACTTGCTCCCACTCAGCCCCGTATCGGCCTCAAAGAACAGCCCAATGCCAGACGAGCCATGGAATCCCAAGACAACAGGGTACGGCTTGGTCTCGTCGTAGTCGCTCGGGAGATGGATGGAGTACGAGCGAGATTGGTTCCCGCTGTCCAGGCCGTGGTACTGCGTGATCCCGTTGAACCAGTGTGTCGTTCCGCATCCTGCGCTTCCCGCCGCTGCGCGCTGGGAGGTGTCGACTGTCGCGGCGGCAGCGAGAGAGGCGGTGAGGAGACCCGTGGCAGCTCGGGCGAAGAGGTGCGCGTGCATGAATATGCAAAGCCCAGAGAGTCGGGTGAAGGTTGGGTGAAGGAGAGACTTGGTGGAGGGAGAAGGGAAAGAGAGTCAGAGACGCGAGCGTTGCACACGCGCCGTCTCGGTTCTGGAAGATGGAAGTCCTTCGCCGCGCTGAACTGTCGCGGTTCCGAGTGGTGCTGGGAGCCACAACTGAAGGATCCAAGCGAACCACATGGGCGTTTCCATGGTTGGTGATGGAGGGCTGTGTATGATGCGATCACACCAAGTCGCCTCCGAGGCAAACAGCACCATCGTCGATTTTCTTCCTCCTGTTCGTTCCCACATCGTTCCCACCCAACAATCTCGGAGCCGCGGTTGGCGAGCGCTGAAGATCATACACACAAAGTCTTCCTTTCACATTCAGAGACCCTTCAGCCTGAATACCGGTTCGGGTTCAAGTTCGTAAAGACAATTTTAAACAATGGCATCGCAAAAAAATCACAAAAATCTCAAAAGAAATCTCTCAAGGGCTTTGCTCAGGGCGGCGGTAATTTCATTCCCGGGATGGGATAGGGAAAGACCGCACTGAGGGCGGCGGAGGGCGAGTATGTCATCGGCGGTAAGGACTGAACTGGGATTCAGGAGAGAACCGGAAGAGGAAGGAGGAAATGCGCAAAGGGTGCGGGCTCCAGATCCGCCTTCCACCACGGAGGCCTAGGTCTCGGGTCGTCTGCATAAGGGTGAAGTTGAAAAGATTGAGATACTGTAAAAGAGAACTTGAAGTGACGCACACGTGAAATTGCCCCACAGGTCGCGGTCAGGATGGTCTCCGTTCTTTGGCGTTTGCGCGACGAAGGAGGGTCAAGATCGGTAGCTGAGACCATTAGTCAATCACTGGCAGAGTTGAACTGGGTCGGAAGGAAGAGCTTGCCTGCATTGGGCCGCTCCACCGGGCCGGTGGTATTTGCAGCGAGCGGAGTGGATGCTGCTCCAGGACTCCGAGTGTTGGACTGAACGTCACGGGACATTCGATGCAGATTCTGCGCTATTAAATGGCGCTCTTCCAGCAGCGCTTGCTTCTCCGCCTCCAATGACGCACGCTCATTCGCGACCGACTCTCGCTCCTCCGCGTGCTGCTTTCGCTCCTGCGCCAACGTAGCGCGGAGTGCTGCCACCTGTGCCGTCGTCTCGCCGCGGAAGGCATCGTGCACCTCCGCCGCCTTCTGAAGGTCAGCGATCGTCGTGCGATCCCGTTCGGCTGCCGTTTTGAGTGTGGTTATTTCGTCCCGGAGTTCCTGCGCCACGGATGCAGGAACCATGTGCAATTTGGTTGTAGCGAGCGCTGCGTGCGCTGCGATTAAGGCTCGTTGCGCGTGCTCGAGCGCCTGCGCTGCGGTGGCGCAGGGGTCAGCCTTGAGGGTCCCTCCAGCGTCCGGTTTAATCGGCTCGGTCTTGGGAAAGGGTTTCGTGTCTTTAGATTCCATGGGCGGGCGTTGACTCCGAGTCGAGGATTTGGAGGAGAAAAAGATAGGAAAAAGGTAATTGATCGAATGATCGGGTCTGCCTAACACTGTCAAGCAAGAGCACAGCTTCGCATTCAAATATTTTTCTTCCTTTTCTTGTGGGGGTTTTCGAAGTGATTTACTTGCTCCACAGTGGACTTCTTGACTTGGATATCTTGAGATGTTGTGTTGAAAACGCTGATGTGCGGGACAAACTTAGCGAGAGCGTGTTCACCCGTGGTCGATCTCGATCACGTCAGTGTACTTAAGTCTTAAAGCGCAAATAGGATGAGACCCCAACTTATGGGGGTGAGAACCTCGCCGCCGATGAAGAAGCCGGCGGGGAAGCTCAGGATCTTGAACAGAAGATGCCATGAGCTTGGAGGCAACTTGGAGGCGAGGGAAGGGATCGGCTTCCGCGGTTCAGTTACTAATCTTTGAATCCTTTCCCCAAGCGATAAAAAGACCAATCAAGCCGGATTGTAACATGGACGGACTGAAAAATATCTGGCTCCACAAACACCTCTGGTGGGAATCGAACCCACGTCTCCTCAGGGACATTTTGGATTTTCAAACATGCGGTCGTAATCGAAAGAGGTGATGTCTTTCATCTACAGAGGCTTTACAGAATCTCCCGCCGCTGCCCATCCATTATAGAGAGATTGGGCACGCATCTATTTCGGCGGGGGAATCATTGGAGATTTTGGTGTGGTTGAATCTTCAATTATCCCCGACAATTTTCCTAGTCGTCTACGGCTTTCGGTAGATTTACTTAGTAACATACTATGCAAGACGGGGGTGAGCGCAGAATGAAGTGCCGGGACGCAGCGTGGTGCAAAGGTAAGCCCAAGAAATATGTGTCGCTTCTCTGCCGGGCATGCCGACGTGATGCGAGTTGATCGGCTGAATGACGCGGCCTTCAAGCGGCCTTCCGTTCCACGCTCAGGCGCTCCACACTCACCTTGCTTCAATCTTTGCTTGCTCTCAGAAAAGAGACTGGATTCCGCTGGTGCCTTCGTCTACCAGCTCGCAGTCTCTTCGTCCGCGTCCCTCGTGCGCTTCGTGGCGGACCACGTCAGCACGGTGACCGGTCGCGAATGTCTGAAACGTTGTTCCCGGAAGCCAACATTCGGTACCTCATTTCGAGTTCGCGCCCGGTCAGGGGATTGTGCTTGCGTCACTCGGGGACAACTCTGAGACTGGCGCCCTTGTCCGGAAATCTCCTGGCTATGATCAACCTCATGCAACGAAATCCTGCATGAAGCAGAATACAATTTCAATTCCTCAGTTATTTGGCTCTCTATTTAGCTCTCTGGGAGACTTCTGCTTCTTTGGAGCAGCCCTTGTATTGCCCTTGTACTTATCGCCCGGGCCTCCGCACGCGGTCGCACGTCAAGCGCCACTTCTACGGGCAATATATATATTGTACGTGTGTTCCATCCATGTCAACGCGACACCCATATTGATGATCGCATTCGCCAGGCGGGCGGGGAACTCCATTTTTTTTTGGCTCCATGCATGCTTGTTCACGTCGCTCCGCACACAGAACAAAGCGAGGCGCCGTGTTTCTCTTTAGACCATCGGTCCGTGCTCATTGGACTGCGCTTGGACTTCTCCGTATGATGCCGAAGCCAGTAGGCGCCGACAAGGCTGATATAGTGCGACTGGATTTAGCACATAAGCGTCTGTCCCATCGTGGGTGCGCCTTCTCTCACCCTCCACTCCCTCACCCACCTCCGTCGCTTCGTTCTCATTCAGCATCCACGACGCCGCGGGCCCCTCCCGGCAGCGACGATGCTCTCCCTTCTTTTTGTTACCCTTTCGTTATTCTTTCAAGTGGCCAGCGCCTTGAGGAATTTCACCATCGACGACAATAGTCCGCTGATCACGTACCGGGGCGAATGGGCGCCCTCGTCGATTCATTTGTCGGGCCTGGACTACGGCGGGAGCCACACCGTCAGCAGTGACGCCAACGCGAGTGCTACCTTTACTTTCACTGGTGTGTACTCTTCCCCATCATTTTTGAGTCAAGTGGCATTCAGCACACCTCCAGGAGTGGCCGTCTTCTATGTGGCGCCGCGATGGCCGTACACTGTCAATACACAGCTTAGTTTGGATGGAGCGGCGCCGGTCGTGGTGGATCTGACGGACCCCATTGCCTCAAAGACTGCCCTAGGCGGTTCCGAGTCAGCGCTGTCCTCGGTCGCGTGGTCCCAGGAGGACCTCAGCAACACGACGCACACGCTTGTCCTGACCATGGCCAGCACTGGTCAATTCATAATTGCAGACGGTTTCATGTGTGTTTTATTATGTTCTTCATCTTCTTGCCATCCTGACAACATTTCACCGATTTGCAGATTCACTGTGGACAACGGCTCCTCGCCCTCCTCCTCGCCCTTCTCGTCATCTGCGTCTCAACCAGTTTCCATGACCTTACCCACCCTATCCGCGACCTCCAGCGGGCCCGCCGCAACGAGCTCCGCCGTCCCGGCCATCCGGGCCAGGAGTAATACTCTCGCAATCGCTGTCGGGTCTGGTGTCGGTGCTTTGGCCCTTCTTATTGCGGGCCTCTCAATCACGCTCTTCACTTATAAGCGCCGACATCGTCAGAAGCCCCGCAAGAGTAACGTGCTCGACGAGTGGGGCGCGGACTACTACCCTCCCCCGCCTGCACCCTTCATCATCGGTGCCCCCGCGCGACAGTCGCACCAGCCCAGCATGTCCGATGCTTCCTCGCCGCTGGAGAGTCCCGGCTCCTCCCGTAATCCCTTTCCCCGCGTACGCTCCGATTCCACGTCCGAATACACCTACGGTGCGAGTAGCCCACACGGGAGTACGAGCAAAAGCGCGTATGGGTACGGCTACGCGCCCAGGGCGGAGCCACGATCCTATGACAAAAAGAGCGAGCTAGCAAGTGAAAACGGGAGCATCGCCTGCACGGTCCCATCTGCGGGGATTGTGCTCGCAGCCGTTGGAAGCCCCTTGCGAGCTGCACGCCGCGAAAAGGCGGTGCATCTAGTGTACAAGCCAGCGCCACCCGGGTACGAGGAGTCTGCATTGCATCCCCAGGTTTCATGATTCTTTTTCACGACCTCGCACTGTCCTTATCATTGCTGTCTCCCCGGAGGAGAATTCTCGGCTTAGTGTATTCTTGTAGTTTGCATGCGCGTAATGAAAATCCCTTATTTACACAACTTGTGTATGGACTGAACATCTTGTGTGAATTTTCCGTGGTATTGTTTAGATGTTCCACGACGAAATAGTGAAAAGACGGCAAAGTCCGAGCGGATCAGTCGAGAGCCGGGCGGCACAGTTCAACCCGTGACAAACATGGACAAGTATAAGCATATGGGTTTCGCCCGCGAAAAATATGCCAACAAACGAACTGCGTATGGTATGGACCACTATCGTGCTCTAGAGCGGTATTGTCCGTACTACTTGTGATATTAGGTCTCATAATTCCGGTGCTCCTTGTTTGGAGGCTGTTGCGTCGACCAGTTATACCTACTAGCCATTACTGTTGTTGATCGAGGCAGACTGGGATGGGAAACCGAAGGTTGCAGGATTGTGGGTCACAGAACCATCACTTGGCCAGTATGGCTGAGGTGACGGCTGATAGGTAAGATATTCAGCAGGGTACGTATTGAACTGGGTGGTTGAACTTGCGTGAGCTTGGGTTTTATATGGGATCCGATACGAGTAACCCTCGAATGGAGGCGAGTATGAACCGGTGAAAGCAGGTAGAAAGGCTATGGCCACAGACTGGTAGCCGTGAAGGGGACCAGCATATGAGTTTGTGTGGGTTTCCGCATGGATCATGTTCCCGCCACGCGAAGCTGAATGACTCGGAGGGGGGAAAGATGGAACGACGCGATTGTTATCGGAGCTCGGACTGAACGTAGCCTCAATATACCTGGAATCGGTGACGAGTTAGTGTTTGGGCCGGATTCGAGATATCATGTCTACCTGTGCGACGGACGGCAACGTTCTGGCGGGCCGGGAAAGATATCGATGGTCTATCGTATGTGCTTTGTCCAGTTATACGACGATGGTTATTGGGAACAGCATTGTGCGATAGTGCCCGGGATGCATTCCCATGGCTTGCTCGAGCACCAGGAGGGGTTGATTTCTGGGTTTCATCGATATCCAGGGAAAGCGAGCGTGACTGGTGAACTCTCTCAAGGCTTGCCTGGACACTGGTTTCTGCAGTGACCTGTCCGTTGCGTCATGAAATAAAGGAACGCAACTCACACACGGGTCGTCGTCTCAATCAAGGGCTTTATCTTGTCAAGAGGTAAATCTTTACTACAGGGAAATTAACAAGCCGATACGCGGCGCAATGGACTAGAATTACTCACAGCGCAATGTTTTCTACATCTGTGGAGTCCCTCGGGAACGCGAATAGAGCGACCAGCGTCACTGATATCACCGTGTCCTTGAACGTGTGATATAGTCCCGCGAAATCCGAGTTGGGCGTGCAAAACGGCGTACTCTCCATGAACGTAACAAATGCCGTGAAGGAACAGATATTGAGTGTAGTTCCGTCGCAGAACGCAAATTGACCGGCAAAGGTGGGAGGACCGGACCGCCGGTGGGAAAGTGCGAAATGCACTTTCAATGACTTCCCTTCGATATCGATGTGAAGCGTCATGTCCTGAAACTGAAGCGTTTTCCCATCTACCTGGATCCTGAAATACTGTGATTGCTGCCTTCGCTGGCTTGGCTACCGGGCGGACATTTTCCATGTTTTTCAGGCGCATGCATCGACGGAACATAGTTAGGACCAAGTCGTCGAATGCGAGGTGCTCGGAGACAGGGAAAGTCGAAAACGTGGGCATTGCCAGATGCGGGACTCAAAACTCGAGACTTGAGGTGGGGGTTGGGGGATTATGCCGATAGGCACAGGATGTTGCGCTTATATGTGCCGGTGCCACACACACACAAGATGCAGTGCAACTAATCATGATCGATCTATATGACGGTCAAAATGCACTTTTATTATTCCCACACTTTCTTTCGTGTTTTTCGACTTTCCGACACTTTTATTGTCTGATTCACTGCTTTCCGGCACCTTTTTCGACTTTGAGACCTGCAATGAATGTGTCGCTAAACCCGACTTTTTTTGGCACCACTTTTATCGACCGAGGTCAGATGGGCACTACTGTAGTATTTCAATCAGTTCGGCGGTCACGCGTCACGGATGGCTCTGACGGCGCCGAATTTTGGTCGTTGTCTGACTCACAGGTCACCGGCGGCCTTGACGAAATGACTTTTTGTCACGGGAGGTTCAAATTTTGGGTCCAGATAGCCAAAGACCAAAAGTTTTCGTCGCCGCGGGCGCTTTGGTGTTTTACTACAGTGCAATCTCGCATCTCACAGGCCTGCAGACGCAAAAGACTGAGAATTCAACCCACATTCCAAAATGGTTCCAACCTTGTATAGAATTTGGTGTTTACTCTGTTGGACTGTTGTTCAATCACACTGTGGATATACCTTACACTCACCTTACACTCGGCATAAGTTCTAAAGGCTGCCGAAATTTCCAGGTATGTCACGGTCTGCCTGGGTGGTTGACGAACTGACGAATCGGTTGAACGTGTCACGCGTCACAAGGGGTGCCG